CAAAGCAAAAAACTGTCCATTTACTCCAGTTACACGACTGAGTGATGTGTAAATGTCATCGTCACTATGGTAGAATTACATGCTTTATGAGCACCAAATTAACATTTACAATTTTAACTCTCCATTTAATTCTAATAAAAACTGATCAAAACCACTACATGTGTTTAACATATTTTTAAAATTATTGTCAAAATTGTTACAGAGTGTTATCTGTTATGGGCCTTCTACAATAAAGCGGGGAGCACAGACTTTTGCATAATGCATAAAGCATGTGCATAAGGAATTTCATTGGCCCATTTTCTTATGCATGAGTCAATGGACCAATCAAATTCTTTATGTATATGTATTATGCGTTATGCAAAAGTCTGTGCTCCCCGCTTAAGCCGTAAGTCACAAATCATAAGTCATAAGCTAGAAATGGACCAATCACAGTCGTCAATTTTTAGTTTCTTACTTCCGATTTATAAAGCCCATTATAAAGAGTCATATCAACTCTTCTATTCTTATCACCGACTTTAACATCGTTTTTTTTTTAATTGTCCATTCCCATTAATTAATTCTTTTTTTCTTTTATTATTTTCCCTTCTTTATCATTCTTCGACTGTTCTTCCTTTTCCTCTTTAAAATTACGGTAACGCTTGTTATGTACAAAACAATTTTCCTGGATTATTTTTGTAACGATGCCCCCCTAAATGTCATCGTCACTATAGTACAATTCTTAGAACATATAGTACTGGAAGGAGCATAGGCATATGATCCCTGTACATTCGGTTGAAGCCGAGAAGATTGACAAGGATGGAGAGATTACAATCTACGATCTTAATGCGCATACTCCATACGCGTGCGCGGTGGATTATCCACCGTGGATGCTAGAAAGCACGTTAATTATTTGCGAACTGTGTTTGGTTCTGTTTGGTTCTATGAGTAAAAATTATAAGTGATTTGTGGCAATGTATTGCTATATTTGCAAAGAAGAAAATCAGGCGTCTTCATATCACTTGTAAGTTTAATTATTTGTGAGTATAGTATTAATATACGGAATTTATAATGTTAGTTTTGAGGTTAGTTTTCGTAATTACTCTTTAATTATTGTAAATAAGTCATAATAAGTATATCAATACTTCGCATTCGAGTCCATCTTCGAAATGAAGTATTTGTACTTTTGACTTAATTATGTGCAGTTATTATTATAGGTTTCCGAAAGACTCAGAACTTCGCTCCAAGTGGTTGGCTGCGTTTCGATTTAAAGAGACCGATATTATGAAACATACAAGGATATGCGGAAAGCATTTTGAAGACACTTTTCGATCACATCTCAAATCAAGATCTATTTTTTAATCATAGAACAGAACTGATTCGACTAGTTATTAACAAATATCTAAAAATTCGAATCCATTATACGAATAAACAAATTTGTGAAGAAGATAATTATATCAGGCACAAATATACAAAACTTATATTGTTCAATAACCAATAAATAAATATATAATTTATCATTAGCACTCAAAGACGTTTCTTATTCATCATTTAATAAATGTATAAATTATCATTTGGCTGTCACTTAAATGTTTTTCTTATTATAAATTGAAATTTATTAGCCTTTTCACTTTAACCTTAAATTCATATATCAAATGTATACTGCAGCTGACAGCTGTGTATAATTCGCTTGCGCGCGCATTCCTCCCTACAGTCATGCGCATTACCAACTACGATCTTAATCTATTTCTCTCTATCAATCTCCTCGCCTTCACTTTCAAGAGACTATGCTCCTTCCAGTACTATATGTTCTAAGGTACAATTACATGCTTTTATGACGAGGATAATTCACAGGGATAACAGCCGCCGTTAAATCACCAGTCCCGTCGGGAAATTCCGGCCGTCGCCGAACACCGCCAATCGGAGATCTTCTCCCACGAGAAGCCGATCGGCGGAAAATATCGAGACCGACCGGAACATTACGAACGAGACTGACGATTCGGTATAAAATGTCATGGCGACAAGATTCGAGAGCCTATCTTAAAGCTCCTAGCAGGGGGTACAAACTCCGCGAATTTTATGGCGACTGAGCTTTAGTTACTAGATGGATGTTCCAAGCGGCAGCACAATCTGTTTTCCCCTTACCTCTTTCCCCGCTTCGTCAACAAACTCACGGCAAGCTTGGACGGCGCGCTTGCCAGGCTGTCCCGCAGCTTCCCGCGGCCCGCGCGCCCATCGTGGCGTTCTGTAGGCGTACACTCAATGGTGTGGTAGGCTGGACGGACGCACGTATTCGGCAATCTTTAAAAATTAATATCTCGTTAACTATTACTGTAATTGCAAAATGGTACAGAACTTTTCGACTCAGTATAGTCTGATCTACTCACGCATAAAATATTTGGCGGTTAATTTCGGCCACCCTGTATATTCTGTATTGATTTATTGTAAACATGTGTGTTTTGCATTTTATATATTGTTATTCTTAGTATTATTTCTTATTGTACATTTGAATTGTAATGTGTGAATGTGTGATACTTAATACAGTGGAATATATTTTAATGAAATTGAAATAATATATGAATATATAATTAATAATAAATATTATTTTTTAAAAAGAATTAATTGTAGTTATATTTAATACATAAATTTATTTTTGATTTTTTAATTTACATAATATTTAGTTATACATGTTTTAGTAATGTTAAACTTAACTGTTATTTGTATTAGTTAATATTGTAAAATAGTACATACATTGTGTAACAAGTGTGTATTAGTTGTTTATTGTGCGACGCGGGCGCGGGAGCGCACGAGCGAAGCGAGTGGTGTGTGGGGTGCAGGAAGCAGGGGGGTTCGAGAGGGGCGCAGCCCCCCCGAAAAATAAATTAAAATATTTCGTAAATAAATATTTAACAATACAAAATTTTGTATTGCTCATTACTTTTAATTATAATTGTGAGATTATTACAATTTGAAATTAAACTTAAACGTTATTGTAAGTTGAATGATATTTGTAGATACTGTATTGTCGTTTTGTCGTAGTTACTTTTATTATTAGAGAAAACTATGCTTACCCCTCCCCCCCCAGATGCCTCGAAAGGACGCTCCGGTCGGCACGTTTCTCCGTGTTGATATTTGTACGAGCGCTACCACTGCCTTGCGTCATTTTTCATAATGTAACGCTTTTGCGTGGGGTTAGAGAAATAACTCAACGGCTTGAGGTACTGGCTATTTACCGCACGCAAAAGCGTTGCGGTATAGGGCACATTACGTGCACGCGTGAAGAAATAGTACATTGTGTAACATGTATGGTAAGTTGTTTATTGTGCGACGCGTGCTCCCCCGCGCCCGTGCCGCACAATAAACAACTTAGCATATGAGTTGCACATAGAATTTTTCATTACGAATGCACTTTGTTAGTAATATGCTATACAATTATAAAGTCGCACGAGCGAAGCGGATAGAGCGTACTCTGCCTTCGCCGGGCGTTCTTGGCCGCCGGACGTTAAGGCTTCGGCCACTGGCACGCGACTCGCCGCTATCCGTTACAACTTCCGCATATCTTCTTCGTATCCCGCATTTTTCCTTCCCGATAATCGACATACGAAACGGGGTAGGGCGCTCTCTGCCTCCGTCGGGCGTTCCCGACCGTCGATTATCGGATCCGCTTTTCCTATTCCGACCAGTTTCATAATTACGCGACGTGCCGCGAAACAGATTTCGGTTGCTGGCGTATACCCGCGTCCATCGTGTTGTCAAACGCCGCCTCACAAGACCCGCGCTGACAATATAGCGAATCAGAGATTTGCCGAAAAGATACTCACGAAGTCAGTAGTACCGCCCCACCGTACGCACGAAGACATTACACACACCACCGAACGCCGATCTCGCGAGACCTAGAGTCCCTATACTAAGAGTCTGGCCAAGGTTGTCATCAAGCCTATTGGTTTCGACAAAATATGGCAGAGCCAATGAAGTGTCTCAAATTAATATTTTGGACGCGGTATTATTCAACTAGTAAGAATCATAGAAAGAACAAGAATAGAACAATAATATAATAAAGCTGTTTTTAACAATTTTTTAAATGTGAAAATACAAATGTAATTTCAATTAATGTATTCATAAATAAATAATTATATCATTTAATAGCAGCAGTATTATTAAACAGCACCAGTTTTATTCAATTAGTAGCAGGGCCCTCAAACTCCCATGTAATTTCTTGCACCACCGTTGACTGTAGTACCATCTGATATGTGGAATGTGAGAGGAATAAATTAATATTCCTACTGTCTTTTCGCTTATTTTACAGTTTATTTACACAAATATACACAAATATACATATACTTCGCGTACGAAGTGATACCGCGTGAACGAAACGCGGAAGGAACTCAGAGACAGCGAACTGAACTCGAAAAACCAGTGAAGCACGCTAAAGCTTACGACGAACGACTCGGATCTCGAAAGACAAGCGAAACGTGGCACGATCACCGGACGACTGCCTTTTTCCTCGACAGAACGCAGTTCCCCACTAATTGGGGAGCTCTTTGATTGGCGTTCTGTACACGTGACGCGCGCGTGAAACTGCGTTTCTCTGATGCAAAAGGTCGAAGGGATCGCTCGATCCGCGCGGACTCGAGCGTCCCTTCCTCCAAAACTTGTCTTTTGAGATGCCGACACCGAACTTCCGTTGCCATGCAGTGCGAGAACTGTATGTGTATACGTATATACACACGATCGTAATGACGATGTCGTGCACGACTTTATTATTGTCTCTCTATGTAACATGCTCCCCCCGTTGAGAGGGTAGTGAACAACTATCATATCGTTAATAATTTTAACGCATAGCTCGACTATAATGATACAGTTTAAACATTAGTGACCTTTTGTTTCGCATCGACCTGTGACAATGCTTGGGGCGAACTCTGAATTTGTCGATGATGCTTGGAGCGGTCATCGTGGTGTTTGGCGAACCAAACGGTTTTGAAATATATATGTAGCGAACTACATAGAATACGCAATCTATATTTTTATGAAATGGCAGGTAAGGGACATAAGGATTTGGCAGCTCTTTTCAGCTGTCCAGTTGCCGTCTTAATGGTGGCGGCTCGAGTTATTCCATCCTTGCCGGGATGGATCTCGCACACTCTGCCTAATATCCATTTGTTGCATGGTAACTGCTTGTCCTTGACGATTACAATTGTGCCCACTTCGAGCCTTGGTCCATCCTTGCACCATTTGTTGCGGATTTGTAATTCGTTTAAGTATTCGAGGTTCCAGCGTGACCAGAAGTCTTGGCGGACCTTCGATATGTGTTGCCATGTAGACAAGCGGTTAGCTGGAACAGATGTTACATTACCCTCCGGGAGGGTTGTTAATGGTTTATCAATTAAAAAATGAGCAGGGGTTAAAGCAATCGTATCGTTTGGGTCTGAGGACAATGAAGTAATTGGTCTCGAGTTGAGGATGCCTTCGACTTCGATCGCGAAGGTGTTAAACTCCTCGAATGTGAACAAAGTGTCGCCAACGACTCGTTTTAGATGGTGTTTGAAGAGCTTGACCATCGATTCCCACATTCCACCGAAATGCGGAGCTCCTGGTGGGATGAAATGCCACGTAATTCTATGATCGCTCGCAAACTTATCTGTAAGGCGCCTGTGATTCTCGGAATTCAATAATGCGTAAACTTCCTTTAATTGAGAATTCGCACCCACGAAATTGGTTCCGTTGTCGGAATAAATATGAGCTGGTATTCCTCGCCTGGCCACAAGTCGTCGCAGTGCCGCAAGAAATCCATCAGACGATAAATCGCTTACGACCTCGAGATGTACGGCCTTAACAGACAGGCATACGAAAACGCAAATATATATCTTCACTCGATTGCGATTGCGATGTTTCTTTTCCTTGATGAAGAATGGTCCGCAAAAATCGATGCCAGTGTGAGTGAACGGAATTGCCGCATTTACGCGAGCAGGTGGCAAGTTTCCCATCTTGTGCTTGACACCGCTGGCGTTAAATCGAAAACAGCGCGTGCAAGCTCGTATTATTTTCCGAACTTGGTTTCGACCATCGAGCAAAACTTCTGACGCATAACGTATAAGGTGGTTTGTATGCCCGCGTGGTGATGTCTTTGATGAGTTTCGCGGATAATAGAGTCAGTCAATTGATGTCGACTCGGCAACAGTATGGGATGTTTCTGAGAATGTGTTAAATTCGACGACTGCAGGCGTCCGCCAACGCGTAATAGGTCGTTCTCGTCCACGAATGGATTTAAATTTGTAAATTTGCATTTACTTATTGATCCTTTAATTTTGAGTTCTTTGATTTCGTCGGAAAACCGAGTTGCTTGAAGAAGTTTTAATATTCGAATCTCGGCCTCGTGAATCTCCTTCGCACACAGTGAGCCGAAATAATTGTTGGCAGAGCGCAAACGTAAGCAATATGCGACGATTCTACACAGCTTGGAATAGGAAGAGAACTTGTCGACTATGTTAAAATCGTTCATGGTAGTCGTCAAACAGATATTTTTCTTTAAATCCGGAACTTCGACTAAACGGGCGATTTCGTTGGGCCACTGATCCTCTTCTAAAGTCAACCACGATGGACCTCCGGGCCACATACGATTTTGGATAAAGGCGTGAGGAAGTTGCCCTCTCGATACCGCGTCTGCAGGATTATCCTCGGATCTAACGTGTCGCCATTCGTGAGTACCCACAGTTTCTTGGATTTCCGCAACCCGATTTGCTACGTAGGTCTTGAGAAGATGGGGTGATGTTTTGATCCAATGCAACGCGATGGTGGAATCGCACCAAAAAATCGTCTTGCTAGGAGAAATGTTTAGCGCGTTACGGATCTCCTTATATAATCGTGCTAGCAATAAAGCTCCGCACAGCTCGAGCCGAGGAACTGTGATTGTTTTCAAAGGAGCGAGTCGGGATTTGGCGGATATTAGTCTAACTGACACGTTACGTTTTCTCTTGGAACGAATATACCAACACGCCCCGTAACCGACAGTACTTGCATCGCAAAATCCGTGCATCTGAACATCAGATGCGCTTTCGATGAACAATTGGCGATCAAATGAGATGCGGTTTACAATTTCTAACTGACGCGCAAATTCCAACCAATCCGTGTATATGTCTTGCGAAATAGACTCGTCCCAATGTAAGTCGCACTGCCATACCCTTTGCATCAATCTTTTAGCATATAGCACAATGGGACTCAACAAACCTAAAGGATCGTAAATCTTCGCGACATCTGAGAGCAGATTTCGTTTGGTAATTCTTTCGGTAATTTTAATGGGATTTGTCAGATAATGTATTTTATCGTCGCTCGTGCTCCACATGATACCCAAAGTCTTTAAAGCGCGATCCTCCTTGAAAACAAGGTTTGCGTGTAACGCGCTAGTCGCCAACTCGTCAACTACACGCCTGTCATTAGACGCCCACTGCCTTATAGAAAATTTCCCGCGAGCTAATAATGCTATGATGTCGTCTCTAATCATTCGGGCTTCGAGGATTGTATTAGCCCCCGTTAATAAGTCGTCGACATACAAATGTGATTTGAGTACTTGAGCCGCTTGGGGAAAGGCGTGGCCTTCATCATCGGCGAGTTTCTGAAGCACGCGCGTCGCGAGAAACGGTGAGGAGGAAATTCCGAATGGGAGTTTGTTAATTTGAAACGTTTCCACGCCGTTTCCTCTGCGCCAAAGAAAACGCTGAAATTGACGATCCTCCGCGTGAACTAAGACTTGCAAATACATTTTCTCGATGTCCGCAGTGATCACGTATCTGTAAGTGCGGAATCGAATGAGATGTGAAAATAGTTTATCCTGAATTGTGGGCCCCACCATCAATAAATCGTTTAAGGATAATCCGTTACTGGATTTTGCCGACGCGTCAAATACCACCCGCAACTTCGTAGTATTACTTGAATCCTTGATTACTGCGTGATGTGGCATGTAATAGCCATTGTCGCGAGGATTCTCAATTAAAGATGCGTGCCCACGTACCAAGTATTCATTTATAGCTTGCTCGTACTGAGCTCGCAATTCGAGATTCGCATTAAGTCTACGTTCCAACGACATTAAACGCTTGAGCGCTAAAGAACGAGATTCGCCGATAAATACATTTGAATTCCGAAACGGTAACCGAACAGTATAACACCCGTCGTTATCGCGAGAAACGGTTTTCTCGAAATGAGCTTCGCATTCGGTCTCTTCCTTCGATTTCGGCGCGTGTTCTGCGAGCTCCTCAACTGTCCAGAATTTCGCTACTTGTTTTTCCAGATTCGATAAATAGCATACAGGCTTCGTTGGAACTCGTGCTGTTGTGCCGCCCGCTACTACCCAGCCGAGACGCGTCTTTTGCAAATACAAGTCATGGCCCTCGCATGACAAGTTTATTTGTCCCACAGAAAACAGAGATAGCGTTCCCCCTGAACCGATTAATAAGTCGACAGGCCGTGGTAGATGAAATTCTGGATCCGCTAGATTAACGTTTGCAGGTATTTTTACGGCGTTGCGTGGGAAAACTTCTGCTGGAATTAATTCCGCAATAGTCGGTATTAATAAACATGTTAAGTCTTTGGAAAAATCATCGCGCGTCGATTGAATGGTGATATGCACGATGCCCTTAGATTCTGTGTTCATGGTGTTTATCGTGCCGACGGGCGTCGAATACTTAGTCACATGCGCATTTAAACATTTCGCCAAAGATTCGGTAATAAAATTCGCGGTTGCGCATGTATCTAGAAGAACTCGACATTTAATGCGATTACGCTTGTGGTCCCGAATGTAAACAATTGCGCTCGTTAGCAACTGCGGAGAGAATGAACGCGAAATCGTTGTTAAGCTCAAAGATCGGTCGCCCGACGGATATGTTAGTCAGGCAGATGTGTCATTAGCGGTCTGTGCGCTCGAAGAAACGGACTGACCAGTGGTTTCAAATTTATTAAGATGAAGCAGAGTGTTATGCCGTTTTTGGCAAATCGTACAACTCGCGAATCTACACGGCAAGTCTCGATGGGATCGCATACAATTATAACAAAGCCGGGCTTTCTTTACCGTCTCGATGCGTTTAGGTACCGACAGCTGTTTGAATTTCTCGCACATGAATAGAGGATGCCGTTTGTCTTTACACATTACACAGTTTATTCTCGTGCGCGAGGCGCTCGACAAAAACGTTTGATTTGATGCTTGAATTCGTCTTCGCTTAGCCGAAGGTTCTCCCTTGATCTCGGATTCAAGCGTCTTGGAACGTTCGCGTCTCGAAGCGCAAACGGCGGTCTTGTACAGAAATTCGTACATTTTTTCTAATTTGGGTAGTTCATCGTTCTCTATAGAAGATTCCCACTTCTCGAGGGTTTTCTTCGGTAACTTGCTTTCGAGAAGATACACGACCATCTCGGGCCCGACGGACACGTTTATCGCAGCTAAAGAGGCAAGATGTTGTTGAACGTCGTCCGCAAGTTTTGTTAAACCACTCGTGGTTTCTTTCTCTAACACGGGCAAGTTGACAATTAAAGAGAGATGTCGCGTTGCTAAAATTCGTTTCACCTCATACGATCGCTCGAGAAGTTCCCAGGCTTTCGAATAACTAATACCGTCGATCTCAAGAATCCTCACCTTATTGGCGGCTTCCCCGGTTAACGCGGATTTTAAGTAGTGCATTTTGTCTACGTCTGATAAATCGGTTTGCGAGCCTATCATGTTATAAAAGGTATTCTTAAACGATAACCAATTTTCGAATTTTCCATCGAAGGTAGGCAGCGGAGCCTCGGGTAACTTAACTCGCCGTTTTTTGGTAGATGCCGTGGATTCGGCACGGTCGCTTCGAGTCTCGATGCTCGATCCTGCGGAGTTTGACACATCCGCTACATTTAAAATGTTATCAATTCTACTCGCGAGTGAGAAAAATCGCTCTTGAACGTTTACGAATTCATCTTGATGTGAATCTTGATTATCGGGATCCAATACTGTAAGCTCAATATTATGTTCTTCATATGCGTTATATACTTCGGTCAACCGAGCAATCCGTAATTTTAAGGTGGTATTATCCGGCGCGCCCTTGTCGAGGACGTTGGTTAGCTGAGTTATTTGGGATTTCAAAAAGGTCCGTCTTTGTAAAAGAACTTTGATACTATTCGACATTGTAAAAATTAAGAAATATCCTCAATTAACCCGCTCGATATGATGAATTGTAAAGAATACGTGACCGAATTGATTAATATCACCAAGTTGTTGCAGGTATCCAATGGATGCTGATAAGTCCGTCGTCGAAAGATCGCTCACTCAAAGTTTCTATATGGTTGACCTCGCTCTTCGTCCAACGCTTCCTTGTTTGATTGTTCATACCTCACAGGAGGCACCAAAATGGAATGTGAGAGGAATAAATTAATATTCCTACTGTCTTTTCGCTTATTTTACAGTTTATTTACACAAATATACACAAATATACATATATTTCGCGTACGAAATGATGCCGCGTGAACGAAACGCGGAAGGAACTCAGAGACAGCGAACTGAACTCGAAAACCCAGATAAGCACGCTAAAGCTTACGACGAACGACTCGGATCTCGAAAGACAAGCGAAACGTGGCACGATCACCGGACGACTGACTTTTTCCTCGACAGAACGCAGTTCCCCACTAATTGGGGAGCTCTTTGATTGGCGTTCTGTACACGTGACGCGCGCGTGTAACTGCGTTCTCTGATGCAACAGGTCGAAGGGATCGCTCGATCCGCGCGGACTCGAGCGTCCCTTCCTCCAAAACTTGTCTTTTGAGATGCCGACACCGAACTTCCGTTGCCATGCAGTGCGAGAACTGTATGTGTATACGTATATACACACGATCGTAATGACGATGTCGTGCACGACTTTATTATTGTCTCTCTATGTAACAGATATGAGTCCGCCAAAAGAGAGGAACTATAATGAATATGATGTTACCTGTTATCATCTGTTACTGCTTGGGTAATTATTATGGAACT